AGACTTCTTCATTTCGTGTGTGGTCACCCGAAAGGACATTTTCATTAAACAAATTCGTATTTTCGGTGTATGAATAAAAAAACGTTAGTCTAGCTAAAAGTTTTGGCTATGAAAACTAAAATGAAGATAGAATTGCTTTTTCCAAGGTTTTAAACGGATAGAAGATATGTTTTGCTATAAAATGAAAGATTTTTCGAAGTCTAAGAAACATCATTTTAATAGGAAATAACAATTTTTGTATCAATTCGGCTTAGAATTGCCAATGTCTAGGATTTTAAATAAAAAAAAATTGTTTTTTTCTTTCTAACAGAATACTTCTCAGACTTTGAAAAATCTTTCATTTTGAAGAAAAAAAATATTTTCTATCGTTTAAAACTGTAAATAACAAGTGTTTTCCAGTCATATTGAAAAAATTTTAGTGTTTTTAATAAAAATACCATTTATCGGATCTGCATACGAAACGAGGAAATCTTCCCTTAGTTTCGAATAGAGCGCCACTGAATGCATATGTGTATATACCTATAAACTCTGATCAATAAGAAAAAAGAGAAGACATACAAATGAAAGCGCTAAAAAAAATTGTCTCTTCTCATATTTTTGTCCACTACTGTAATTATTAAATTCGTAAGGAAATCCTGATAAAATATGAATTTAACGATTTTAATTCTTCTTTTGACAGATATTTCTAAGTGATGTACGATCTATGTGCAGGAGGTGATGAGTCCAAATTTCTACCCCTATATACTTCAACATTCCGTTTTGATTATGTTATATAAAATTAAGGATGTAACAGTACCAGTCTTACTGATACATGCTGATAGACTCGAATTACTACTATCGGAATTTTTAAAGAAGGCAGGTGTAAGAAAGGCTTATAACTTTTGAATGGAAGGTCATAGCGACCTGCGGTTTTCAGCGTTCAGCAGACGACAGCTTGGGGCAGATGTTGATGTGTGGGGGATGTTTTCCCAAAGTACCTTTCTAGACTAATTTTAGTAGGCAAAATTAGGGGAAAATTAGCGACTTTTCCATAAGAAATTTTTTTCGACTAGTTTTGTAACCCGAAACGTCCTCTTAAAAACTTCTAGCATCTCGAGGAAGCAAAATGTCGAATTTGCTTTCATACCATTTTGAAGAGGACGCTTCGAGCTATAGAATTTGTGAAAAAAAATTCTTATGGAAAAGTCGCTAATTTTCCCCTAAATTTCACTTACTAGTAATATTAGCCTGGAAAAGTACTTTGAGAAAACATTCCCCACACATCAACATGTGCCCCCAACTGTCATCTGCTGAACGCTGAAAATCACAGGTCGCTATGAGCTTCCATTCAAAAGTTATAAGCCTTTCTTACACCTGCCTTCTTTAAAAATTCCGATAGTAGTATTAGTGCATTTCTAAACAAAATATTACACGAAATCGATGATATCATCAGGAAATCGAATTTTGAGTACTTTCCACCGTCAAGAACAATCGGGAACCCAAATTGTAAATATGAATGTAAGTGTAGAAGTCCTTCTTTGCACTGAAATTTACACTCTTCTGCTAACATTATTGCTACAATTGTTCATTTCATGTTTTCATCGTTGTAGGAAAAAATTCTGTATCACAACGAGAAATTCAACGATGTTTTAGTCTTATTGATTTTTTTTGGCAAATGACATATGATGAAGAAATCGAAAATACTCGAAATATTTATATATCAAAACCGATTCGATGTATTGCATTAGCATTAGCATTAACCTATTATTTTCGACTTCCAACACAAGATGATAATGAACAACGACGTGATAATAAAACACCAACTCGTGAAAAACTTGCTGAAATTCTCTCTCAATATATATCGGATTTTGTTTTTATAATTCAAAATGAACTTGAAAGATTTGTTAATACTAATCATTTCATGATTCCACATAGTGTAGCTGTCAATCAAGCCGTAAATAAATTAATTCTTTATTTTCTTTTTTTTCCTATTAAATTATTATTTGTGTTTAGATTCGTGAACATATCTTCTCAATTGTTGTTTGTATTTGTACTCGAACACCATTGTGTATTATCGGTGCACCAGGTAGATATTTTTTTTCAATAAAATATTGTTTGAATATTTAAAATTATTCTTCATATTTAGGTCAATCGAAAACACTTTCATTTCAAATTGTTTTACAAAATCTTCAAGGTTCACAATTATCGACAAAAAAATTTTGTAAACGTTTGCCAAGTATCGATCCATTCTTTTGTCTTGGATCGAAATATACTCGTTCAGAAGATATTGCATATGTATTTGAACGAGCCATTAAGCGTGAACAACACTATGAACAAAATCGAATAAATACACGATGTGTAAGTTGTTATCTATTTCAAACTATTAATTTATTTTATAATATATATATTTTAGGTTGTTTTCTTAGATGAAGCATCATTACCTAATGAAAAGAAAATGGTCTTGAAAGTTTTACATCCTTATCTTGATGAATGTCGAGTTGCTTTTGTAGCCGTAGCTAATAAAGCATTCGATGCTGCCAATGCTAATCGAATGGTTTGCATCTATCGATCGTTGCCATCGGAAGAGGATCAACAAGTATTGGCCTATGGTTGTCTCGGTCTTGAAATTAATCCACAACAAAGTCGATATGCTACGACTCGTCTCGAAAAGATTATTTCAGGACTTTGTCAAGGTTATCGTTGTATACTTACTTGTCCACATATTCCGAAAATTTTTCATGATCGAGATTTTATTTATATGCTACGAGAATTACGCTTCGATTTACCAACAACATCAGACGATCAAACAACAGCTATTAGTGGAATTACACCAATTAGTTTATTACATGCACTTGAAGACAATTTCAATGGAATAGATAAAGTTGAATTTAAAGAATTAGTTAAAATCTTTTTCACATCTGTTCAAGAACAGTGTTCTGATTTTCAATTACCTTTAGAAGAAGAAAATCATCAAATTTATCGTAATATTCCATCTATTCTTCGTGAATCTATGAAACTCGATTCGATTCGTCGTCGTTTATATGGTCGATATAAATTAATTGTTGATGAGTCTGAAGATGAGAGTGCAATGAATTTATTATTACAATTAAATATTCTTAATTTTGATTCTAATCGAACGAATATATTTCGAATGTCGGATTTTGCCGGTGATTTGAATAATGAATTACGAAATGTTGAAATTTTATCAATAATTAAACTTTGTATGGAAACAGGAAAAACAATTTTAATGGTTAATACAGGACGAATTCATGGTTCACTTTATGATGTATTTAATCAAAATTTTTCAATTATGGCAACAGGTGATACACGAAAAATTTTCTCGAAAGTAGCCATTGGTCCAAAAACGATTGATGTTGTTGTTCATGAAGATTTTCAATGCATTGTTCATATTAAACGAAGTGAATTCAAAGAAATACCTGCTCCATTTCTTAGTCGTTTTCAAAAATATTCATTGAGTATCAACGATTTCTATAATATTCAATTACAAAAATTACCTCAAAATGAACAAATTCTTTTGAAAACAATTGAGCAAAAAGCATCAACATTTATTCAACATTTCGGACGACAATATTTCTATGGATTTAATGAAAATACACTTTATTCGTTTCTTTTATCATTAATAAAAGCCAATGAAAATGGTGATCATTATCTATTGAGTCCAAATCAATATTATTCACAATTAACAATCAAATCAAAATCTTTTATTGAACAGAATCCTGCCGATATTAATCAATGTTGGTTACGTTCGATATTGTCGAAATTGATGCAACTTGTTTCACCTGAATCAATTATATTGAAATTGCCAACATTTGATGGTAATATGGCACGATGGTTATGTACGAATTATTTTCATCAACAAGAACATTTTAGTATTGAAAATTTTATTCAACAACTTATTTCCAAACCATTGATAGATCGAGATAATAGTGATTTAACTGAACATATTACAATAGTAACAAAAGTAATGATATTTACACGAACATCTCCATATATAATCGGTTTAAATGAACAATCAACCGATACATTATTCACTAGTTATAACAATAATGAAAAGATCGATCTTCTAAATTTGGTAAGAGTTTCATTACACATATTTTCGAAGAAAATAGAATGTAAGGTTTTCCAGAGTTTGTTAGCTACGGGAAAAGGTACATAACAATACTGCGGTTATGGCCTAGACTTTTTTTTTTTATAAGATTCTGGAATATTCAAAAGTTTTGCTCGAAATTTGAATGACTAGAATACGTTTATGAATGTTTTAAATAGAGAAGGTTTTTATTTTTGAGCAGATAAAAATTTATATTCAAGATGTCTAGGATGATGAGTAATGGTGTATTGATTTATTACTGTCGTCATAGAATCAACATAAAACACGCGCATTTATCAAGATATAGAATAGTGCGCTAAAACCTTCTGCATATATAATGAATATGTACAATTTTCAACATAGTTCATAAGATTTCCGTGAAACTTTCCTGAGATGTTTGGCTAATGAAAATAGACTATTAAAAAGAATTTTACGTCTCTAGATCTCGTCGTTTAGGAGACCTTCCGAAATCATCACACAAAATAGAAATTTCACCCGTACAGATACTTTTCAATACACCTGAAGCTAAAACACTCGAATTGCTGTCATTTCAAAGAAGACTCTTTCCAAAAGTCGTAGATAAGGTTGTCTAGAAAATCCGTTGTTGTGTTGATACTGGAGGTTGAATAAAAAGTCTCTCTCTCTCATTCGAAAGAGAATACATCCATCTGTCAAATAATACAATCTCAGTTTACTAGAACGAACACAACTGACGAAGAATTGTTCGAAATTTTGCAATATGTGTAAAACGCAATTCGGGTGTGTGAGTGTGAACGGGTATTGGTGTAGTCTTCAGCTACACTCACACCCATTCAATAAACTTATCGACATAAAATTTAATATTTTCGAGCCTCGAACTATATAATTTTCGATAGGTTTTTGATTTTGCACAGATAGAAAGATTGGAAGTCGAAGAAACCTATTTCGTCTGCCTCAATGTAGTATTATTGCAGGCTTTGTCACTTATTAGAGCCAATATCGGGAGAGTGTGCATGTATAACTGAAGCAACTCACACCATGTCTCAAATTTTTATTTTTTAAGAATTATATTGAAAGTTGTTGTGTTTTATGTATTTAGAATACAATCGAAAGTTCTGTTGAATTAGAAGAAAGGTTTCAAAATTTTGAAAATGATACAAATAAAATTGTCTTTATGGTAATAATAGATGGTCGCATAGGGCATCAACACGTGCATATTCCATTTGTTCGACAACTTGTCGATAAAAGCGAATATTTATGCAATGTAGTCAAACGAAATCGACAAAAATATTTTCTTATTCTTGTTCATTCACCGGCACAAGAACTATATCATCAATCAAGTTTTCAATCGATTTTTCTACATAATTGGGAATTTTATTTCTTTGATACATGTGCATCTGGTAGTGCATTTCATCTTCAAAAAATGTTACAAATTCTCTCGTCAACACACGATCAAAAATTAGAATCATTCGATAACATTTTATGCGATTTAAACATTCTATTTGATGATTGTCTATGGGATTTTTGTTCACGAATTCAAAATATGCTTCCAGAATTATCACATGATGCATTCAAAAATGAATTAGCTTATACATTCTATCAACATCAAACAAGTACAATTCGTCGTGTAAAATGTTTGAAACAAATTCTTAAACAATGTACACAATTACAAACACATATTGTCAATATTTATCATGAAAGTTTATCAATACAGAAGAATTCGTCAGAAAAGATCTATAAGATGATTTATGATATTTCTAAAGACATCCTATGTGGTAAACGTTTCGATGGTCTTGTCAATTCGATTCAATCTCAAACACGAATTTCATTTGCAAATTTTGTTTCAAATATTTTCAAATTTATTATTAATGACTATGGTCTTGATACACTATTAAAATTATCAACAACGAACACTGGTTATGACTCATTATTGAATTTAATCGATTATTCTTCATTTATTGTTAATAATAACGATAAGAATATTCTATCGTCATCAACAACAAATGAAGTAATTCAACTTACTTGTCATTATTCGTACATTCCAGAAACACCATTATACTATTTAATTCATCAACGTATCAAATCGTGTGCTGATAAAATTAAACAAAAAATACTTCTCGGAGAAAATGAATACAAAGGTTCATAATTTCCTTTTCTTTTTGACTTAAAGTTTTTCATAGAACACATATTGGAAATATCTTTAGATTTTCGAACAAGTAGATATTTAAGCCTCAAGAAATTTCAACATATCAAACACAATAAAAAGAAATTTCTGGAAAAATTTAATGCCAGCTGAGTTTACAGGATCTTTTAGTAATAACAAATTCGGACCTACGTCCAAATACCGGAAGTTTTCTAACAATCATAATAAGTCCCTAAATATACACATTCAATCAATTTCGGAATCAGAAATTTACAGGAATTAAGAAAATTCCTAAAGATTCTCATAGTTTTTAGGAAGTAAGGTTTTCTACTATTATAGATTTTATTTCGTCTCGATACGTATAAAGATTATAGAAATGATAGAAATTTCCGTAATGACTGAAAATCTCTTTTATAATGTGTAATATTATTTGAAATTTCCCGATTTATGAAGAGAATCTCGTGTTTCTGACATCTGGCCTAGACCTATGACAGTTTCCGTTCAACGAACTGAACTGGTGTTAAGCACCCAGCTCTTAGAACTATGATTTGTCACAAGTAGGGGTGTACAGCTCACATAAACGCTTCTGAACTGCTCATATAAGCACCCGTTCATATAAGCGTAAGGGCTCATCATCCTGAACTATCCAATCCATAACCGACGAATCAGATCAGACAAAACAGGTTGTTGTTCGGGTCATGTGGAAGAGGGCTATGGATGACCCCCGATCAACGCCAACAACATTATGTTCTGTCACAAAAAAATAGAGAGAAAAAAGACTATTGAAAACTGATTGGTTGATCAGCAACAATTCAGATTCGAGGAAGCAGCTTCTCAGCTATTGTAATGAGAAAGCATAGAATTGTTCTGGCCAATCTTAGGGTTATCCTGGGTGCTCTTTCATTTGATCCGAACAACAGTATGCGTTGTTCTCACTATAGCTGACTCGCATATTGGAAATACAGAAGAAACGCTCACGATCATATAACCACACATGAGCGTGAGCGGTATACATCTTTCACCAGCTACAGTTCTAAAAAAAAAAAGAACTGGGAACTGTCACAGGTCTAATCTGGACACTGCTGCCTAAAAATTCACATCCACACAGTCGAGACTGAGAGATCTCAATAAGTAGAGCAAAAGGTGTTAAACACTAAAATTTTCGAATACTTCCTGCAGGAAGATATAGGGTCGCAAAGGACAAAAGTTTTAGCTATGCAAAACTCCATACTTCATTTTTTCGAGTTGTAATTTGTTTAAACAACAACTAGGATCAAATCCGAATACGTATGTTTATTTTCCTTCTGGAGACATCGCCACAAAACGTGTTTTTTTAATCGTACTAATATTTAAAAGCTGTCGAATTTCATAGGAACAAAAATTTGAAAAAAAAAAGAAAAATATGCACCTCAATTTGACCAAAGTACTTGTCGAAAAAATTTCAGCTGGATCGCACGTACTTTGTGAGAGAAAGACGGGGGACTTCATTTTTCTTTTGTTCAAAAATTGATTTTGAGAAAAACACAATATAAAATCAAATTTTATTTTTTTCTCTTTTGTTCATGTCACAGATTACCATTTATTATGCATCAAATATGAATATAAAGAGCTATTTCCAAGGAATATTCATAGAATTCATGATTATCACCAATAAAAATATAGACTTCTTATAACATAAGAGCTCTGAGGACTAAGCATTTTCAGTGCTAATACGGCTTAGTACAATTATGATACTTATGACACTTGAACACAACTTTAGAAATGAAAATCTCGGAATCGAAAAATAAATTGTTTGATTGCAGAGAAAGAGAAATCTCTTAAGCAAACAACATTATATCGATAAATGTTTTTTATTCATTTAGAAAGAGAATCTATTACTCATGGAGCTTCATCAATTACCACTGTGGACAATCAATATCATGATGAAACGGATAAATTAGAGAATACACTGACATGTTTTCGACCTGAAATGGTTAAATCTATCATGAAAGATAAAATATTGACAGATATTATTTCAGAACATGTACTCAACTCATATTCGAATGATTTAGTTCGAACATTATGTATAATTATCGAAAAAAATTTTTCAAATGATTTTATTCAATGTGAATCGGCAATTAATTTTGTTTCACGTTGGTTATTACTTATCGATTATCAAGATGAAGAATTTCTTGAACAATCTGAAAATCGATACATATGGCTTCTAGCTCATGTTTATGCTGCATTAGAATATGAACCAAATGATCTCATATCATTCTATTCTGCTTGTCGTATAACAGATCGTCTTGATCGAACAAAATCATTTTATAATGATATTTTTTCGGATGGAATAACTCGATCTGAAGTACGTGCAACAATGTATCGAAAAATGTTTGATTATCTTTGGAAAAATCTTTGTTTATTATGTTCATCAGATGAAAATAGTCAACAATGGATTGATACTTATATATTCATTTCAAAATATTATCCATCAGATAAAGTGCTTGGACTTACACGACTTGTTGATATCAAAGATCAAATTGAATTTATGAAATTAGCTTATCTTATCCTTTTAAATGAAGCAACACCTGAACCAACGCAACTTATTAATTGTTTATTAAAGGATACAAATCTTATTCAGGGTTCTGGTCAACATCAACATAGTAGTTATGAAACATCAATTAGTCTTAAACATTTATCGAAAATCATTGAATCTATTCATCGATATTTCGAACGTCAAAATGCAAATATTTCAACATTAATGATTGATTTACAACAATGGATTCTTTCAATATTAAAGACATCGAATCAATCATGTATTAATGAAATAAAGTATCTTTTCGAATATTTAAATAAAACAACATGTCAATTATCTTTAGCAATGAAACAATTTCTTTTCGATGAATTAGCTAATTTATTTCTTGAACGTAAACAACAAAATGAATTACGACAGAAAAAATCCGAATTAAATCCATGGGATCGTATGAATATATTATTAATAATAATTGTTGAATGTGCATTAAAAAACGATCAAATAAAAAATTATAAAATACCCTCTCATCCATCAATAGTTCCTCTCGTTAATCGACAACAATCACAATACACATTGTTCGATTTATTATTTTTCTATCTTA